TTCTCTGCCTGAATCCTTCCCTCTGTAAAATGGAGATGATAATATTTACCAGCCTCACAGGATGTTGACATGATTCCTTAAATTTTTGTAAAGCAATTTGAAAAGTGCTGTAAAAAGGCTTAGTATCAGGATTATAATATGACCAATAAGCATCTACGTTGTGCAACTGACCTAGGAAAAAAATGTTTTACAAGTTCCCTTGTAACCTCTTTAAAAAAAAAAAAAAAAAAAAAAGCAATGATTCTCTGTAAAGATAGCTAACTATCTATGGAACTTTAAAGATTATTTAAAAAGTGACAAATTCCATCTTGGGAAGTTGCACTCTAAGGGCTTAGAACCTGCAAAGCCATATACATGCAAGTAGTCCTAACTAGTGCTAATAATCCCAGAGTATAAATATTAGCAAGGACCATTTGCATGAATAAGAGTTTTCATGAGAGGGCTCTAATTTACAAGCCACCTATTTTGATTGCTACTAAAAGGCTAAACTTTACTTAAATTATCTCAGAGTAGCAGTTAAGACATTGCAATATTTTCCTATACTTAGAACAGAAAATAGCAGCAATTTCTCAGATACCAATGTGTTCTAACCTTTGGCACAGGACTGACTTTTTAATAGTACCACTGGGGTAGTGAAGGTGTCAGTGTGAAAGGTGTTCTACAAGTGATGAAGATATATGCATGAAAGCATTGCTGGAACTATCTAACTGCTCTTAAAGTCAAAGTAAGTTCTGCCTGCATCCGGATTATAAAATCCAATTACGTTTATGGCAAACATGGTTGGGGCTCGTAATTTTAAATTTGCATATATACATTTTCCTCTTGTCCCCATCAATGCTATTACTGTAATCTCCCAAAGTATACAGCCCAATTTCACATAATATGGTTACTAGCCTAGCAGATCCAGTTAGATATTATATATCCAGAGGTATATTGTCAAGACTCCAGCCATTATCACAAGGGGAAAAAAAAAATTATGACATATGCCTGCTTATGCCTATGGAGTCAAAATAAATAGATTATTATTTACCTACAAAATAACTGTGACTGCATAGGAAATGGATCTCTGATGACTACAGTACTTGAAATGCTTTGTCACCTTGTCTGAGGTCAAGTCCATGTATTCAGTATAGGCCCAGTCCAGACAGCTGCTCAACACCCTCATATCTCTCATTGATTTCAGCGTGCTCAGCACCATACAGGATTCAGCCCTCACAATATACATTGCGAGGCTGTACAAGTAATTCAACAAAACAGCTACCTTGATCTATTAGGCTACTAAGCTCTATACAAAGGAACATTTAAGCACTTTGAGTTATACTTAGCTTTGTTTTTAGAATGTATGGAAAATACCCCTACAGCTGGTGGATGAATTAGAGCTAAATGCCTCTCTTGTATTTACATGTTGGGTTTACTCTAATAATGTGTGAAGAAGGCTGCCATAAATGCACCAGAAAGAGCTGCTTGCCAAGGTACCAGTTGTGCAAGGTGCTGAGCAGCTCCTGAGAAGTGCTCAGTGCCTTGAAGCCAATGGGAGATGAGGGCATTCAGCACGAGGATCAGGCCCTGAAATCTGTGATGTTTGATAAGATTTCCCAAGAAAAGTGATTCTGATTTAATACAATCTCTCTCCCCACTCACAGCGAGTCCCCAGCATTTCCTTTTCTCATCAGAATCCAGGGGGTATAATAAAATTAAAAAGGACATTTTTCCCCTCTTGATGCCAACAAATGCTCCCACTTCCCAGGGTGACTCTTCTGCCTTCTGTTTTGGCAGGCTATCCTTCTTCCATATTTCATAACTACAGTTGCGTAACAACAGAGCATAGCTATAGCAGCTTCTGGTTGTGGTAAACATGCTGGGTCTTAACCCCATTACCAGCTCTGCTGTGTCACTTATTTCCTGACACTCACTTGCTCCATAACCCCTTGCAGTAACTGGTGAACTGTCCCGCTTGCCAGGCTTATGGAGGACTAGACATATTGTACGGCAAGTTATTCAGCAGAGTGAGACACCTGGCTGCAGACGCCAAGAACCATCACTGAATCAAATCTACCTGCTGGAGGTGCTCGGGCTTAACACGTACCCATCTCCATAAATGGGCACGTTATTTCAAATTAAAACAAAGTTAATGAAGTGAATATCTGCAGAGCTGGAAGAGAAAGTCTAATTAAAATCAAAGCAGTTATTAGTCTCTTATCACTACTGATTAATTATTAGCTGGAGATAATTTGTCACTTTAACTGGTAGCGGAAATAGCTCAAGTGTTATCAAGAGCAGAAATGTAATAAAAACAATAAGCTTATAGGCCTGCTCTAGACGTTCCAATTCAGGGCTGAATAATCTCTTCTAGCGGGAGAGCCAGGGAAATGGGTATGGGGTGAAATCCTGGCAAAACTCCCATTGACTTTAGTAGGGTCAAGATTTCATCCCGGAGGGGAGTGCGGGGAAGGGGTTGATGGTTTAAACTTCACATGGAAGTGAGGATTTGCTTCCATTCTAGCTCTGCAGGAGACCTCACCCTCCAGCCCCAAAGATATCCTGAGCCTCATAAAATTGTGTGTATATATATATATATATATATATATACACACACATACACACACACACACACCTACCTATCTCATAGAACTGGAAGGGACCCTGAAAGGTCATTGAGTCCAGCCCCCTGCCTTCACTAGCAGGACCAAGTACTGATTTTGCACCAGATCCCTCAGTGGCCCCCTCAAAGATTGAACTCACAACCCTGGGTTTAATTTAGCAGACCAATGTTTAAACCACTGAGCTCCTCCAAACTGCTCCCCAAGGTACCATTTTACCTATGCCAGCATGGTTCCTTCAGACATTATGTTGTCCATGCCTCCTTTATAGAGGGAGCCCCAGCACTACCTCTACTTGCAACTCCACAGCATAAGAGAATGCTGACAACTGTAAGCAATGCCTATGGGTTTGTGGGGCCCTGACACAGCAGATGACACTCATCCCCTTTGATCTTTCCCCTTCATGCTACCAATGAAGCCCAAAATTCATGGAAGGGGCTTCTGACAAGTCAATGGCAGAGGGGCACTGATGACACTTAGGCTCAACTATAGTTTCACGTAAGTCAATCTATTTTTGCAGATTTTTCTTTTGTTTACCAATTCTCTTCTGTTTTTTTTAAAAATATGTCCCTCAATCCTTACTCCAGGCTAAATTGCAAAAAGCAGTCAGTGGAAGTTTTACTTGAGTAAGAACCAAGTAGAGACTTCAGGAATGGGTCCTACATCTTTTTGCAGTGGGAGCAAAGGTTCCCAAGATAAACTGACAATCTACAGCTCTGCAGTATAGTTAGATGGCTTATATTTTATAAACATTCAAAAGAAGCTTTTTTGGATGGCTTGTCAATAGAAATGCAATGATGTATTTGTGAGACCAAAATTGTTCCCTGCTCATATTGATGAGATTGGGTACATTCAGTTCATGCTGCTAATGGGTGAATCAGTAAATTAAATGGAGAATGTTACTAAAGTATTATTTACAATCTCAGAGCTCTATTGGCTTATCACTTTGATTGCTTTATGATAAATAGCTGCCTACCTCATGAGAAATAGTATTTCTTTTTAGTACCATTCTAGCATTTAGTCCTCATATTGATTTCACTGTTAATGTACTTTGATAACGTTAGCTTTCCCTGTTTTTCCTGCTTTTTATTTCAGAGTGCTCCTTCATGTTCTTCTTTGAAATGAAGAAGTTACACCTCTTCTTCTATTATAAATATGTTAACATGGGGGCAATTAATGGACAGCAGAAGAGCAATATTTTGATATAAAATCCAGCTGTTTTCTGTCAGGTTGATTTCCTCAAGTGTCTTATTTATTTTTATTTTTTTTATCCTGAGACACTCTGGCTGGTCTGAGATTTGATGAGCATACAGTGTTACTTTTAGAAATGGGCTGAACTCCAGTTAAATATTTGGCTGTTTAATAGGCAGACTTTAGGATAACAGTCTTCGTGGGAATCCAAAAAAAGGGAGTAAAGAAAGGGCTCCCCGTGCTATTCTTAGCAGCACACAGTTAGATTTGGAATTTTGATTGTAAAGCATGGAATTTATAAACGTTGCCATTCTAAATTTACTTCGTTTGTATACAATTCAGCTGGATAATCAAGTGTTACGGTATGTTCCTGCTTAGCAGCTCAGTTCTGAGTTTAACAGCCTCTAAACTAGGAGAAAATTTCATTCAATAAACATTGATAGTGTCATTTGTTTTCCAATTGTTGAAGTAAGTGAAGATTTATGATGTGTGCATATAGACACATACACAGATACACATGGCAATGATTTATTTCTAGGGGGAAGCCAAGGAAATTCTCTCCCTGTGCCCCATATCATCGAAGGTATTTGTTCTTTGGTTCTAAACGTTAAGTAAGTTCTCAGCCAAGGAATGTACTTTCACTCTCCAATCGATAGATGTGTGTTTGCACTCGTTATTTAATGATAGTGGGATACACAATTTACCTTATTTAACAAAGGTGCTACTGATTAGCTGCACACCTCATTTGCACACACAAAGACATTTCAGTTTAAATCCTTCTTTGTTGGTCTTCAGTTTTATAATGTGAATTAATTGAAATAGAATTTGTTTATATATCATTACCATATACTGCACTTTTCAGTGTTTCATGGGTAGATTGGCTTTGTAAAAAATGAGCTTTTAATTGCTATATTTGGGCAGCTATGACTGATCATGTTTTATGTTTTAGAAGAAAATAAAGATTTTATTTTGCCAGTACTTTGCTAAGTAGGATATTGCGCCTGGAATTTTAAAGTATTAAATAAAAATTGCTAATAAGTTCCTTAATATGGCACTTCTGATGGGGAGAGATGAGGAAACAACGTTTGGATAATCTGGTTTTCCTTTAGAATTACCAAACTAGAGTAAAATGACTTTCCCTCCAATAACGTCCCCAAGATCCAAACTCTAAGACCTTTTGAATTTCCCCACATTGCTATAAACACTTACGTGGCCCCCAAGGTGCCTCTGGGGGGATTCTCTGAAGGTCAATCTCATCCTTATCCATTTCTTATCCAAGCCTGGAAAGCTCAGCTGCAAATTAGTACCAAAAAGAATATTTGAAATTGAAGGGATCCTTCCTCTTTGCTTTTTAAATTTTTAGGGCTTTCATTCAATGGGCACAAGAAGCCAGTCAGCTACTGCAGATTGCCACACAACATATTTGCAAGCAATCCTACTACCACCACTAATAATAAGAGCAGGGTCCCTGGAATTGAAGGCAGCCAAATTTAAGAAAGAAAAAAAGAAACGGAGAAAATTCCCAACTTCATGCCCTGGAAAACAGAGCAGCTTGAGCTGACCCTGCTCCTCTTGCAGAAAGTCACAGATACAGCCTCTGCCATGCACAGGGGTTTTAAATTGATCGCTGCTGCAGCCGCTGCTTGAGGAGCCCCCCGGTGAAGAGCGAGGCACTGACTTTAAATAGCAGCGCTCTGCTCTGAGCCTGGCTCACACTAACTGCTGCTGCTGGAGGCATACGGCAGTGGGAACCCAGCCCCCCACGTGACTCGGATGGGTGCAGAACTATGCACGAAAATCCAGCCGGGAGCAGGAGGATGGGAGCGTCTCTTTCCACATGATCCAAACCTCTCCCGGATCTGGGGCTCACCCACGCACACGCTGACCCTAAGCAGCAGGAGGAACCGCCTGAGGAAGAGTTGGGGGCACTTCCCGCTCCCGGTACCGCAGAGACCAGCTTCGGGCTCCAGGCATCACCTAGGGTCCCCACCGCGCCTGTGGTTTGCTTTGCTTGCTTGCGTGTGTCTGCTGGACTAACCAGTTATCCCGTTCTGTGGCTCTGCCCTGAGGCGCAAATCGGATGGAATATGATCTCTCTCTAGTTTCACCGTTGGTTGACAGGCATTTTAGATCCGAGCACCTGTAGCTGGGTGTTTTGTACAGGGATTGTGGGGAGCGGAACGTTCCCTTTACAGGAGGAGACGCATTACTGCTGAACCGGCGGGTGTGGTAATCCCAGGCTCTGGTCAGACTCTCAAATTGCGGGGAGGGGTGAAATTGGGGGTACCTAGAAAATGGAGAGACGTTAGGATGGAGGCTTTGGGGCCAAACGAGATTTCAGGCTCTCTCCTCCAGTTTTGCTGCAGGCAAGAGAGGAGGGGGAAGGGGGGAGTGCTGAACCACAGCCTTCAAAACAGCAAGAAAGGCGCCTTCTTATGTATCCATAAAACCCTGCCAATGACACCCATAGATAAATATAATAAATCCCAACCCAGATCTACCTTAAACAAAGTGGGTTTGCAGCAAGTGAACTGACCTTGGGCGTTTGAGTAACCCGCCTGAATGATGGCAGCAGCTGACATGTGCAGGGAGAATTCCTCTCAAAGGTCACTAACATTTTTTTTCTCTAGCAGGCTGCAGAAGCACAGGCAACTTTTGGAAACCACACACTGCAGCCTCAGAAGAACTTTTAACGGGGTTGGGGCAAGTTCTTGGACATCACCCTCAACATTCAGGGTGCTGAGAAAATTAGTGTGTCTTGACTGCTGATAGTAATCAGAGTAAAAGATAATTAAGATGGTATTAGCACTATAAAGTCTTTGGTGGTTCATTGACATCTTCAAAGCCAAATGCCACTTAACAGGGTAATTATTAAAGATATTGATTTCTTTCTCCTGTGTAATATCTGACCTGTCTGCTTTTGGAGGATTTTCAATGTCCTAATCTTCTTTTGTGTATCATTGTTTAACTGTTTCTTTAAATTCCCAGACTTCATGGATGCTGAACCTGTCCATGAGTCTTTCATTAAAGAAAAAAAATCCTTTAGCACATTTTGGGTTTTTAGTAATGGGGGTTAGAAATGGTATTAGAACTCAAACTCTTACCGTCTAGGCATAGCACTAGGCCACAGAGCTGATTCCTTTTCTCTCACTGAAGGAGTGCTTCAGTCGTCAAACTCCTAATTTCACTCTCTCGGGTTTCCTTGGTGGTTTAACTGGTTAGGCTTTTATGGTCACTGCAGTACTAAAACAAAGAGAACAATCTTTCTCAGAATAAGTTTGAAATCGGACGTGATGGAGTGGAAAGACACAGTTGGGTAAATGTATAATCAAGGGAATTTTAGAATTTAGATAATTTCTTGACAGAATGTAATCCTGAGAGGCTTTGAAAATGAGTCAATGTGCTTTCAGGCTATTTTTAAAACCCATTATTTACTCTCTTTTAATTTTTATGCAAATATGAATTTAGGAAATTTTAAAATGTACAGTATTTACTTTATTATTAGAGTAGCAGTACAGAATGTTGTGTTGTAGATCTGTGATATATTTGAGCCTAATCTTGCTACACTTACTCATGTGAATATAAACTGCTAGAGGATCATGCCCTTAATATCAAAGAGAGTTCTTTTCCTTTGGCTAAATTTCATTCATTCCTGCTGGAGTGTCACAGCAGAACCCAATATCTGCACAAGATCAAAATATATATTTCACAAAGTTTAAAATATAAAAAAAGTCAGTCGTCCCCCCCAATAGGTTTTGTAAAGTAGAAACTGTGGAAATCTTCACATGCAAAGGGGTCCAAATTCCAGTACTCTTACTAAATAAAGCCTTATAGATTAGTAGTCTGACTATTTAGGTGATACTCAGTGTGACAAAATATCATAATCTAGCACATAGACCTCATTTCTAGGTTTTATTGCATAGAGTAACACTCAGCAACGTGGGATTTAACTCATCATTTTTGATGAACACTCCCATACACAAAGTACAGCTGTATAAGCATAGAAGCATCCAGTTAAAAGAGCAGAAGTGATATTTTCATGATTGGTGGGTGTGAAATCACTCATTTATCTAGCTGGGGCTGACCAAAGTTAAGCCATCAGTGGTAAGCAAATGGTTTAGCTAGTTGGATTTTAAGAAGGTGGGATACCTCACATCAGGGTTCTTACCATCTGTGAAGATTCTGGGCATGAGGACCTTTCCTAAACATACACACAATACATTGCAACAAAGTAGCCACTCATGGCTTGGTTGTTTGATAAAGGCTATTCTTTGCAGATGACTTGAAGGGGACTATAGCCCATTCAAAGGCAGCCCTTCTCATGATGACATTGTTTTGTAACTGCCTTGGAGAACGTTGGTCTGACAAGTAAGATTTCAAACTTACTTACTGCCAGCCAACCAGGGTAATTATTTTAGGGGTTTTATATGTTGAACCAGACTTCTGGATGAATGGGGACAATACTAAATGTTAATGACTGATCAAGCCTTCATTAACAGTCTTGAAAATTAAAAATACAGTATGTGCCATCTACTCTTATAAAGGATCAAATTTGAGGACAAAGTCTTGAATTCTAAGAAGCAGTCCTGTCTCCATCCGTCTACAGGCTATGTTGCTTCCACTTATGATCATTGGCATTCATAGAATAATCAAAATATACAGTGCAATAGTACTTTTCACCACATTGGTGAGTGTAGGACCATGGACTTCTTTACTATCCTAACGTCAAAGTACCAGGTAGCTTTCACAAGGAATGTTGGTGCATTTATGGATATAAAATGATCAGATAAAGCAAAAAAAAAAAAAAAAACAGATGCTGGTTTCACCATTGTACAGGCAGTGCCAGTAGAAATGTGATTTAAATAGCACACTAACATCCTGTGAACGGAGAAAGAGCCAATACCAAAGCATGCAGCTCAGACTTAAGGTCTCTTCTTGCCTTGAAGTCTATAATTCTAAGGTGAACTGGTTCATTGAAAAAACAAGCCTAAAAATCTTGCTCATTTTATTTATCCCTTTTACGTCAGACTACTTATGTAAGTATAGCAAGCAAAATCTTCCCCTCAAAAAAGGTACCATACTCACATAGAATGTGCACCTGTACAACATTAACATATGTACACGGGAGAATAGGGCTGTTGTCACAGGGTGTCCTGGCTCTATGGCCAGGAAGGGGTGCTAAGTGTGGCCTTGTAGGTGCTCCCTGCCTCTCTATCCCACAATGTCATCCAGAAGATCACTAAGGCTTTATGTAGGGAACAATGCAGCCTTCCTGAGGGGGGCAGAGGTCTAGTTGATTAATAAAAGATCCAATGAAAATACAAGCAAGCCTTCCTCCCAGCATCATAGTTGGAAGATAGATATCCTGAGGCAGATTATTGCCACCTAGGTCCATCTCTTCACTCCAGCAGGGCTCTCTCTGCCCAGACCCCTTTCCTGGAGTCAGACATCTTGCCACTACCTAGCCCTTCCCCAGAGGTAGAGGTCTACACAGATCTGACAGCTGCAGCTCTTTTCTGGTACAGCATGTCATTCCTGATAGGCTGGGCTTGCCAGCCATTGCTTGGGAGTTACCTGTCCTTCAGAGCACACTTTCCAGAGCCCTTGCTCTGGTGAGGTCTCTTGGGAGTGCCTGTCCAGCTTACAGTCTCTGTAACTTATCCTAGCTGCATGCTGGTAACCCTTTATCAGGCTCATTAGCTGCCAACCAGCCACTTACAGATTTAATTCCTTTCAGGTGTATCTGAGTTGGCTCATTCTCTCTTACAGAAGCCTGTGGCAGGTAGGCTGACTCCCCTTAAAGGGCCAGGCTTTGTGATAGCTGCCAACTGAACTTTCAGTAAATGTCAGTGAAGTTCTGCCAGTGTTTTAACCAGGAGCTCTAACAACAGTATCCCTCCTCCGTCTATGATAATCCCTAATATACCATTGGAGTGTGTACTTGCAAGGAGGAAGTGGAACGGACCAGTGTATGTATTCATTTGTCTACCTATTTGAACAAAAATGCTTTCTCACAAGCAGAGAAGACGACAGCACCACTTGGCAACCAAGCTTATATTACATGCACTTGCATACAATGTTTATACTGTGCTCCTGAAAAATATACTGAATACCTGGATAGTAGAGCAGGGCTCCCCTCACATACTCTGAAACACAGAAAACAGACATTTTATGGGGGTTCAGGGTTTTCCCCAATTGCCTTGCAGTTGCCCTGGAATGATTTAATTAATTATTTTTATGAACCCTGTGGATGGCTTAGAGGTGAACTCTATGGGGGACAGGGAAATCACTTTCATTCTCTCTTGGATTTGGTGGTAGAATTTTAATAAGGGTCACCCAAGAGAACAGCTTTGGCAATAAAGTGAAACTCTTTGAAGATAATCACATGATCATGAAACAAAATACTGACTGTGTTTACAAGAACAATCCCATATCCAGTGTATTTTCTTCAATGGTGGCACTGTAAACCATAACCTCCAACCCCCAATCGTCAGTTACAAAATGTCAACAGGTAGGGCACATACAAGGAATACAATTGGACCATATAATACCCAATACCTAGCTTTCATATAGCACGCTTCATCCACAGATCTCAAAGCACTTGATATCCTGC